GCAGTTGGTTTGGGTTTGAAGGCGACACGTGTTGCCGTCTCACCGGAGCTGCGTAGCTTCAGCCGACGCTCGGCACGTGTCCCCTGCCTACCTAGTTGCGTTTCGCCGCGTGTCGTCGAGACGTGGCTGTCGAAATTTCTTCTCTCTCCATTCTTGGACGATTCTCGGATTTCTGCCTTTGAATCGAGGTTTCAGTTAAACTTCTTCAAAGATCCTATAGAGAGTTGTTCCTAGATGAATATATCAAGATTTCAGATCTTGATTCACAAAGAAAAATCGTAGATATGAGAAAATGTTCAAGATCTTACCTCACGGGTTTTTTTCGATTTCTTGATGGAAAATGGGACTCTGGCCACCCGCATTCTCTTTTCCCTTCCAAGAAAGGCTCCTTGCATCATGATCTTGACTGGAATAGACTCCGACGGTAGTTCGGTGAGTCTTACGGTGGTTCATTCTTCCTCCTCACTCTAGGTTCTCTCTAACCCGTTTCTCTCACTATTTCTCTTTTGCAGGACTCTTGTTAGAGTTTCATTTGGAACCACTTTCATTTGGATCCCTTAGTGGTTGGAGGGGCAAACTTACCTATTTGCCCCTCTCTTGACTTTTCTTTTTCTATTTCTATTTCTCTTTCTCTTTCTCTTTCTCTTTCTCTTTCTTCGGGTATTAGAAACTCTTCCCCCTTAGAAACTTTCGTCCTCGAAAGTTGGCGTCGCTTGGAAGAGTTTGGGATAGGCCCCTCTCACGTCTTCTTTACGTTCTCGGGTTGCCTCTTCATTAAGGTGGTTACCCCCACGAGACTTTTACCAAGGTGGTCGCTCTTTCATACCAATGCTTTGTGTCTTAGTCTGACCCAATAGAGAGTGGTACTCGTATAGGCGTACTACCTCTTTGACCTATAACTGATCTCATCAATCTACTCGATAAGTGGTCTCACCTGGGATGAAGTGAGTTATCTCGGTTGGTCTTCCCCAACTATCCAAATTACGTTCCGACTCTGCTTAGTTTTTGGCAAACTCGAGATAAAACCCATACACACTACTTCCCATTTAAGGGTTGTAGCAATCTTGTTGGGCGCTATCTCGATGCCTTCACCTGCTGGCAGCATCGTCTTACGAAACCCGCCATGTCTCTCTTCATTCCCGGGCCACCAATAGCATCCCTTTAGATAACTTCGTACATCCTAGGTGGAACGTATCAGATGTATTGTGGGTTTCAGCTTCTTTTAGGATTTCCTCGTCTTGGGGAACACACAGGCAATCTTGCCACTACAGACCCCCGCTGAGGAGATAGAATACCCAGTTGGTTTTTTTTCGCCCTGGTCTGACTCCACACTTTGTTAAAGTGTTCATCATATCTCTGGGCATCAATGACACATTTTCATAAAGTGGGTTGCAAGGTTATCTGTGCTATTTTAGCGATATCACCATTAACCGCAACCTCAATTTTTAGCATTCTTCATTTCATCTTGTAACTTCCCTTGCTTGGTGATCATTGCAAAAGTATGAACAGTCTGTGTCATTCCATTTGCACGACCAAGTACTTGAGGCTCTTTAGTCAGTGTATGCTTGCACTTTTCTCCATGCTCGTAATGTTGCCATGTCTCCATGGCAAGCACGGCTGCTGCTAATTTAAGGTCATGGTTAGGGTAATTTTGTTCGTGCTCTTTCAGTTTTCTTGAAGCGTAAGCTACTGCTTTACCATTTTGCATTAGCACTCACCCTAAGCCCTTACATGAGGCGTCTCTATACGTTACAAGGTTGTCTAGCCCATCTTGAACTGATGCAGTCACCAACCTTTGCTTAAGCTCCTGGAAACCCTGTTCACCACTGGTATTCAATCAAAGGGTTTTCCCTCCTTGGTTAACTGTGTAGGCGCTGCAGAGATTCTGGAAATATCACGTACGAGTCTTTTGATAAATTTCTAGAAACTTCGTACCTTAGTGACTGTGGTTAGTTTTGGCCTCCTCATATCTACTTCATTGTTAGCAGTGTCTACGATGAACTCTCCGCTTGACACCACATAACCTCGGATTTCATCTCAGACAGCCAACACCGGCACTTTGGAGATCTTAGCGCATGATTGATATGTTCATAACACCACCAAAACCTTCCTCAAGTGTTCATTGTCATATCGTCAAAGACGACTACAATGATGATAGCAAGAAAATCTCATGAACCTTCGATTTTTATAAACATACACTTTCACAAGGCATTGGTCAAGTCGAAAGGGCTTATCAGTAAACTCACCTTCCTCATGACTTGTAACGACCCAGATCCACTACTAGTAGATATTGTCCTCTTTGGACTTTTCCTTTGGGGCTTCCCCTCAAGGCTTTAAAATGCGTCTGCTAAAGAAAGATTTTCACACCTTTATAAAGGGTGATTTGTTCTCCTCCCCAACTAATGTGGGACATCACAATCCACCCCCCTTCGGGGCCCAGCGTCCTCGCTGTTAGGATCGCACAACAACGCACACACTCGATCTAGATGAACACAAAGAACAGGAGAGAGAAAATGCAAGGAGAACTCTGGCTAAAAGATTTATATTGATGACTTCAAGTATGTACAGCAAGAGAGAATACAGAGAATAGAAAGTACATTTTCAAAGCTCTACTGGACGAGATATATATATATATAGTTCAGTTTACTATATATAACTTTACCGGATATAGCTTTACCGGATATAACCGTTGACCAAGCTATAAATAAGCAGCAGACTCCATAACTTAACACTCGCTGGCACTCGTTCCTTTCTCCAATCAATGTGGATCACCACCAAATCCACCCCCCTTTGAGGCCCAGCGTCCTTACTAGCACACCGCCTCGTGTCTACCCCCCTTCAGAGAACAACAAGAAGTCTAGCACATTGTCCGGAACCTGGCTCTGATACCATTTGTAACGACCCAGATCCACCGCTAGTAGATATTGTCCTCTTTGGGCTTTCCCTTTCGGGCTTCCCCTCAAGGCTTTAAAACGCGTCTACTAAGGGAAGGTTTCCACACCTTTACAAAGGGTGATTTGTTCTCCTCCCCAACCAATGTGGGACATCACAACAAAGTTTGAATACAAAGAATCAATAGTTGACCAATTTTGACAATGAAAAACATGAAGGCTTTGTGTACAAAAGAAAGATTGGATTAACGCCCCAGGACATGATTTCCTTTGTGACCATCCACATCTCTCAAACATGCCCTCTCTTAACCTGACGCCTCACGCACCTGAAAAAGAAAAATATAGCAAGGATGAGTATAAAAATTTCTCGTTGGCTCTAGGACGTATGGTTCTAGTCATGGTTCGGCTTTGTGTACGAAAGAAAGACTAGATTAACACCCCAGGACATGATTTCCTTTGTGACCATCCACATCTCTCAAACACGCCCTCTCTTAACCTTATGTCTCACACACCTAAAAAAGAAAAATATAGCAAGGATGAGTATAAAAATTTCTCATTGGCTCTAGGACGTATGGTTCTAGTCCTTTCATTTAAACCCTAAGAGTTTTTTATGTTGATTTGTGAATGGCTGAGTAGCTACCTCGTGCATGACTCTACGAGACTACCTGTGTAACAGTCTAAGTCCACCGCTAGCAGATATGGTTCTCTTTGGACTTTTCCTTTCGGGCTTCTCTTCAAGGCTTTAAAACGTGTCTGCTATAGGGAAAGGTTTTCACACCCTTATAAAGGGTGTTTCGTTCTCCTCCCCAACCAATGTGGGATTCTCACAATCCACCCCCTTCGAGGCCTAGCGTCCTCGCTGATATTCATTCCTTTCTCCAATCAATGTGAGACCCTTACCAAATTCACCCCCCTTCGGGGCCCAATGTCCTTACTGGCACACCGCCTCGTGTCTACCTCCCTTCGGGGAAAAGTCTCCTTGCTGGCACATCGTCCAGTGTCTAGCTCTGATATCATTTGCAACGGTCCAAGTCCACCGCTAGCAGATATTGTCCTCTTTGGGCTTTCCCTTTCGGGCTGCGTTTGCTAGGGAAATGTTTTCATACCCTTATAAAGGGGGTTTAGTTCTCCTCCTCAACCAATGTGGGATTCTCACAACCTGGTACTTTACCTAAGAGGTGAAATGCAACCACCTAGGTCCATAATAGTCCCCCTCATCGAGAAGGGGCTACTTTTTGCCTTATCTCATCCAGCTAAATAATCTGTATGACGTGGTTCTCACGTTTTCCATGCTAAAACTGTTAGGAGCAGACGAGTCTTAATCAGAAACCCCTAGTCCCCCATGAAGCTATGACACCATTCACTCAACATGCAGTTTAAGGTACCTCTTAAGGTCGTTCGTATGTCGCAGGGATTTGTTAGGTTTAACTTCGTGACTTGTCACTCTAGCCACGAAACCCTAGACTTTTCATTATAATGGGTCATGGAAATTAATTGAGTATGCATATAATAATTATCCGGAATCAACATATTTAATTCATGCAAGAATAAACATACATGTTCAATGGAGTAATAACATCCATCAACACTAAGTTTACAATTTCTCATTCTCCTAAATTCATTTTATGGGAAAGCTAATCAATAAACTAGCATGCATGCAACGAAGCGAACTCTACAAGCATTTCTTTCTAATTTCGTGTGATGACTTACCCAGTTAATGCGTTTCCTTTCGTTTGGCGTTCCTACGCGAATAGGGTGTCTAAAAATATTGATTTTCCTAGTTATGTCCTAATTTACATAGAAATAAGGTCAGAATTGAAATCATCACAAAAATCAGACAAATAGAGGTTAAATAGGTGAAAAATAAGCCGCATGCTTCATACCCTACATCAAAAACCTTAAACTGAATCTGAATCAAAATCGAAGAAGAATCTAATGTGATCTAGATAAAAACAAACATGTATTAAAGTTTGAGTGAAAATTCATTTAGCAGAACCAATTTAATAACCAATTTAATAGTAAAAACATGATTTTTCTTTTTGTTTTTCATGAAAAACATTTTAAAAATAGTAACCCAGCATGGAAGAATTTTGTATCAAAGAATTTTATTCCTTCATTATTTTTTGGCAAAAGGAAATATGATAGAAGAAGGGGAAAAAAAGAATAGTAAAGTACAAATTCATCTTATAAATATCTTCATCAACGTTGAATCCTTAGCAGATGGGAATTGGAGCACCGTTCCACTCTTTCAAGCACTCCAAGATAGAGTCGATCATCTTCCCTTCACACAGAGCTGTGAACACCTTTTCGCACTCTTCTCCTGGAGATATCACTTTTTCTCCTGTCAGAAGATTCGTTCCCAATTCTTCTCTCACAAACCTATACAATGGATAAGATCTGCAGTCCTTTATCTGATTCTCAATTTTGGAATTTCCACTTTCGTACGACAACCTTGCATTTTCAACTTCTTTTGGTAACACGGCCTTTAGTTCCTCCTCAAAAGCACCAATCTTTTGGAAGATTGAAGTGTCTGCGTCCTTTTCACAATCACCATTGCCAAGTGCGTGCTCAACAAGGACTTGCCTCAACTTTTGGCTCAATGGGTAAGTGGCACTGCATGGATCATCGATATAAGCAAAGGTGTGCTCTCTGTCCACAACTTTTAGAAGATCTTTCTCACAAAACCTTGATGGGTGAAGCGCTCCATTAGAGGATGTGGTCAACACTTTCTTGGCTGTTTGGCTAACACAGTTTTTCACAGTGTTCTTCAAGTTTTCTTCCAAATGCCTCAAGTCGATTGCTTGGCAGAGGGCAACCAAAAAGGTGGAAGACATGAGTTTTAAAATATCAAGGGCTTCGGCTGTTTTCCTTGAAGAGATTAAACCCAGCGAGTTAACATCTTGGTTGTGTTGCTCGGCGCTCTGTACATGGCTAGTCACTGGATTTGCAAGATATTGAAGCTCAGAGCAATAGGAAGCCATGGCAATCTCAGCACCTTTAAATCCATAATCTAAACTTGGGTTTCTGCTTGCAGAGAGATTTGAAGGCAATCCATTGTTGTAGAAATCATTGACAAGCTCTGAGAATTGAGCAAACATGAGCTTTCCAATTGAAGCAACGGCCAAACGAGTGTTGTCCATGGAGACACCAATTGGAGTTCCTTGGAAGTTGCCTCCATGGATCGCCTTGTTCCTTGAAACATCAATCAAAGGGTTGTCGTTGACTGAGTTAATCTCTCTTTCGATAGATTTTGTTGAGAATCGAATGACTTCGATCAATGGACCAAGCCATTGAGGAGAAGTTCTAAGAGCATAACGATCTTGCTTTGGCTTCTGGAGAGGATCGGTTTCATGCAATTTCTTTGCAGCTTTCATGTAAGAACTTCCATCCAGGATGTGTTCCATAATTGCAGCAGCCTCGATCTGACCAGGATGATGCTTCAA